TATAGTTGCAGGGCTTCATTCATTACAAGTGCATTAAGATATAAACCCTAGAGAGAAAACAGACTGCATCACAGCCTAGTGAGCTACTCTGCAGGTTACACCTGCAAAATTGCATCCTCGCTGTCTGAGGGAGTTTGGTATCAGCTTTGGTTTTTACTCTAATGATTTTGGATAAGTGTGGGTGGGTTTCTTTTAGGTGTTGCCCCAAAGAGGACTATGTTGACAAGGGCTTGATCCCTGTTTTGTGGAATATGGGCACCATCTTCCGGTGAGAGACTGTTTTTGTGTAGCTCAGATGTCTGTCAATGTTAAAGGTTGCAGCAGCAGCAGGGACAGTCTGGGAAGGCTGCAGGGAAGGCTGTTTTGCAGAGAGAAACACTGACAGGCAATGGTAAAAATATCTATGACTCTGAATGCCCTAATATGAAGGTCCTTGAGCATCAAAAGCTGCTTTCCCTTCACCCCTGGCGGCACATTGCTAAGTGCAGCCCTGCACGTGCATTGAGCCCTGCTTGTTCTCCAGTGCTTTGGCTCTCTCTGCTGGCAGCTCGACCCCACGGCAGCTCGAGCCTTTGGGATGACCTTCACATTCAGCATCAGCCTGGGGAGGGATGTGCCGGCAAGATATGTTATGTGGAACTGCAGAAACTGAACCTAAGCATCAGTCACTTTGCTAGGCCATAAGGAGAATTATAGAAGAGTGGTTTAGAGCAACAAGTGTGGTCTTGCAAGGAAAAGACACTCCCAAACCTTGAATCAGAGAATCAAATAACAGCCTGGGTTGGAAGGGACCTGAAAGAACATCACATTCCCACCCCCCCTGCCATGGGCAGGGACACGTTTTACTAGACCAGGTTGCTCCAAGCCCCTTCCAAGCTGGCCTTGAACATTTCCAGGGATGGGACAGCCACAGCTTCTGTGGGCAATGTGTGCCAGTGGCCTCACCACCCTCATAGTGAAGAGTTTCTTCCTGTTATCTAATCTAACCCTGTCCTCTGCCAGTGTCAAGCCATTCCTGCCTTGTCTCATCACATACCCTTGTTCAAAGGCCCTCTCCATCTCTCTTAGACCCCTTTAGGTATGGGAAGGGGCTCTAAGATGTTCCCAGAGCCTTCTCTCCCAGCTGAACAACCTGTTTCTTCATAGCAGAGGCGCTGCAGTTCTTGCTCGTGAGTGTGTCATGTGGTTGTAAACAGGGAGGTTCCCAGTTTCCACCCAGCTGCACTTACTGCAGGAACAAGCAAGGAGCAAAAGAAGAGGGAGGGAGTGGTTTTATCATCCCTCTTTTTTCTGCTTTCTGTAATCTGGTTTGGGCTAAAGTGGAGTCCAATCCCTGGTTTCAGTTTAAGGCAGCCCTGATGACTAATTTTAGCTAATTCCTTGTGGCTAGCCTGCTGGACATTGGTGTAGAGAACATTGGGCAGGAGTCTCCATTCTCCTGCTATGTTTCCTCTAGGCATAGGGAATTTGCAATGCTCAGATATTGAGAATCTGCATCCTTCTGAGGTAGGAATTGGCCAGATCCTACTGGAAAACCAGGTATTTGTGCCTGGATACATCCCATTATCTGTGTAAAATGTGTTGTTGCCTTGGGATTTCTGGTAGTCAATGTAGCTCTGGGTACATTCAGATGAAAGTCAGCTCATCTCAGCTCACAACTGCCAACCGAAAGTTTCTGCTGCATGGTCAGCTCAGCCTGGGTGCTTCAGTCAAACATCTATTAATTTTTTGAAGAAACACAGGGTCTGAGATCGCCAGCACATTCAGAGAAGAGATTCCAGAGCAGTCAGGCTAGTACCTGGCTGTCATTGAACTTACTTTCCCTCCAGAACTTAATAGACATATTTAGCAATCACATCTGGTATCTGAGATGGCTCTTTGGTCAACACTGGAACAGGCTGCCCAAGGTAGTGGTGGAATCACCATCCCTGGAAGTGATCAAAAGTCTTGTGGATGTTGCACTTGGGGACATGGGTTAGTAGTGGGCTTGGCAGTGCTGGGTTAACGGTTGGGCTTTCTGGCCTTGAAGGCTTTTTCTAATCTAAACAATGCTATAATTTTATTCCATGTTGCCTATGTTGTTTGTTTGCTCATCTTCCTTTCAGAAGTCTTCTCCAAAGAGTTTCAAGAGTTGAGGTAGCCTCAGACATTTGCAGTGGATCCTCATAAAGGAGACTCAGACATCTCTTATGGTCTTCAAGTCTCAGGGGTGCATCAATAAAGAAAGGTTAGTGGTCCCTTTGCTGTAAACAGTAACAGCCATGCGCAGTGCAAAACAGCTGTAAGCAGCAGGGAGAATAAATACTAAGTGGTAATGTCTAAGTCATCATAGCACCTGATAAACTAATGCTCATTTTAAACC